TTGTTCCTTGAAGAAAGACTCATTATTTTTGCTACTAACACTGAGATGTTGGCGTATGCATCTCTAATCTGTATGCATCTGATTATTACTAGTCATAATCAGTTGCACTTGGATCATTGGTGCCTATGTATGTCTATGAAGTCATTGGGTAGATTTCAAAGGTAATGTTTATCACCTCTACTAATTAGCATGATGTAAATTTCCACGCGTCTTCCTCAAATATAATACATTAAAAAAATTGTTGATTTTTGTATGTGTATATATCACACAAAACATCTCAAACCATTTTATTCGACTATATACCCACTTCCCAGATGGCACCCTCCCATAGCCTCCCTCCCACCACTAGAGCCCTTATACTTTGATATCCCTGCTACTGTCTGCTGTGTTGTTGGCACCCCAGCCAATCCTCACTACTTGCCCTTCTGTTGAATCTAGTCAGCCTATCTAGAGGTCTTTGTTTTAGGAGGGTCAGCTGTTCCTCTTCTAGCAGCAATCAGTTGTCAGTACTCCTTTAGATAAGTTTAGGGTCTGCTGTTCGTTTTCCCAGTTCTATGCTGGGTTACTATTTGGGAGTCCCTTTGGTCACCCTGGTCAACAACTCAAAAGAAGGTATCTCCTATCTGGCATTGTTGCTTGTTATGTAGCCTTTAGCTATACATATGGACTCTTAAATTATATCAACCCCTTTAATCTTTGGTTATGTTTTCCTTTTGGATGTCTAAGGCCATACAGTTGGCCCAGATAAACCAATTTATTTTTACTCTTAAGGTCGTTTGAGTATCTGTTCCTCAGCGGTCACATGGGCTTGGGAGGAGCCCCTGGCTCCTTTCTTTTACCAGTTCCGCCTATGTGAAGATAAGTCAAAGGTCCTGCTCAACCATGGTTGGCTTCGCTTAGAAGCATGGAGGAAGTGATTCCTCTGTGTTTACCTTCCTCTTTGTAGACTGGACACTGGTTCAAGTCCATCTGGTGGGGTCTCCTCAGCCTCCTTGATCAAGAGGACAGGTGACCCACCACAATTACAGGACATTTTGAGAGATGCTCATTTGTTTATTTACTTTTTAATTGTATGTATAATTATGAGTTTGTGCACATGAGTGCAGGTCCCCACAGAGGTCAGAAGAGGGACTCATATCCCCTGGAGCTTGAGTTATAGGTGGTTGTGAGCCACCTGACAGTAGGAACTGAACTTGAGCCCTCTCCAAGAGTAACAAGTGCTCTTAATTGCTAAGCAATCTCTTCAGTCCCTCAGTATTTTTTTTAAGCATATGAACTTTTTAAAATAAAATTTTTTTCTTTATTATTTTTTAATTTTATGTGTATGAGTGTATTGCCTGCATGTATGTGAGTGCGCCCGTGTTGTGCAATACTGTGGAGGTCAGAAGAGAGCTTCGGATTCCCCTGGAACTGGACTTAAGGATGGTTCATAGACGCCATGTGGGTGCTGGGAATCGAACCCGGGTCTTCTGCAAGAGCAGTCAGTGCTCTTAACCACTGAGCCATCTCTCCAGCCCCTAAATATATGAACTTTTATTAGGAATGTAAAGCCTGATTCTATGGTTGATTGAATTCGTGAATCTTTTTCTGTATTTTTCATCTCCTCCACAGTTGTTAGAGAGGCCACAGCGAAGCCAGCAGTCAAGTACTGCAGCTTGTGCTCTCCTTTTCCTGGTGCCGAGGATTGAGCTCAGGGCCTCACCTTCTGAGCACCTGCTGTACTGTTGAGCTATACTCTCATCCCTGAATAGTAAATATTTCTCAAAAAGTACTTACATGAAACAAAACAAAAACATCTAGTTCAAAGCTACAGCAACAAAATTCAAGACCTAATCAATTATGTTTGGAAGAATGGAAAGAAAACATATATGTAAATTTAGTCAAATAATTTAATTATCCTTCTAGAAAATATGTACATTACATCTGAAAAATGAAAAGAAAATTCATTGAATATAATCTGCCAAAATAATTGTTTTCTGACAATGCATACAAGAGTCTCTCTGGCTTGCTCGATGCTTATTGGTTTCTACATCACTTCCTTAGATAAGACCTAAGAGAAATTATGTTTACTATATTCTGAAAAATAAAAGAAACAGATAGATTCATGTACATGATACTAAAGTGATTTAGAATACACATCAGATGTTTTACATTGTATGTTTAGTTTTATTGTTTAGTGACCATAGAGAACCTTACAAATCTAATATTTTTTTTTCCCTACAGAATATTTTCAGTATTACTATTTAAGGGTAATCATGTGAGTTAAAATAGTGTGGTTTTTGGTGGTTCCTATGCTCCTTCATGTACTATTTTGTTGTGTTTTTATTGTATGTTTTAAAAATCATATCTGTATTGTCTATCTGCATACTGTAACTTTATTAAAAAAACACTTAAAATTATAAAATATTTTATTTATTATTTTATGTTTGAGTGCATTGCCTGCATGTTTGTAAGTGCACCCATGTCATGAGATGCCTTCAGAGGTCAGAAGAGGGCATCAGATCTCCTGGAACTGGAGTTATGGATGTTTATTAGCCACTGTGTGGGTGCTAAGAACTGACCCCAGGTCCTCTGCAACTGCCGAGCCATCTCTCCAGGCCACTTGAAAATTTTTTTGTTTTATTTATTTCTATTTTATGTGTGTGAGTGTTTTGTCTGAATGTATGTAAGCACACCATGCAGGAGCAGTGCCTGTGGAGGCCAGAAGAAAGCACTGGAACCCCTGAACTAGAGTTACAGGAGGTTGTTAGCTGACATTTGAGTGCTAGAAACAAGCTGTCCTTTGTGGAAGCAGCCAGTGCTCTTAACTACTGAGCTATCTCTTTAGTCCCCAGAAAAATACTTTGAATAATACTAAATTAAAAAATACATTTCCCCTCTGGCTCTAATGAAGACTGATCAGTTTCCTATATATCAGGGTGCTGAATCATAAGCATAAATAAATTTTAGCAATTACATCGTATGTTAAATCAACTTTGGAAGTTTTATGTATCTGTGGATTTTAATGTAATGGTTTCTTTAAGATGCCAATACTGTCTTTAATGCAATTAGTACATTCTCAGAATTATATGCATTTTTACTGCTATTTGCTTTACTGTAAAATATTTAAATTCCAAGAAATGATACTTCTTATGAATCCTTCCAAAATACATTTCTTCAAAACTATATTAATGCATTAATATGTACCCAATTTTAAGTTCTTAATTTTTTTTATAATAATCAATTGTGCTTCCTCTTCTTTTTCCCTCTAGTGGTCATATGCTTTAGAAAAACCCAACACTGGCAGCATATTTAATATTGCATGGTCAATTGACGGCACTCAGATTGCTGGAGCCTGTGGAAATGGCCATGTTGTTTTTGCACATGTGGTGGAGCAGCATTGGGAGTGGAAAAATTTTCAAGTAACACTAACTAAAAGAAGGACAATGCAGGTATGATTACGTTCCAAGGTTGATGAACTCTATTTCCTTTCATGGTCATTTACTATACAGAAGATAGAATTATCTTTACTGATTATATTTGCTCCAGTAAATATAGACATCTAGTTGCATTTGAAATACTATAACTATGCCATTATTGTCACTTTTTCTTGGCATAAGAACTTTTACTGAAAGAGAACCTTTGTGGTTATAGGCTTAGGAAAGGGTAGCGAAGCTCGAAGCTTTTTGGGAATATGTAGACTCAGTTAAGGAAGGAGGTTTGAAGAGGTTAAGACAAATAGGAGTAAGTCAAGGACCTCAGAGGCCTAACCCGCTAGCTACTGGCAAGGTAAAATTGTTTTTCTTATAACAGAATAAATTTATTTAACCTGATTTTTAAAAACTGCCTTTTAAGAATTACCTAAGGCAAGTCAAAATGGGAAAAAATTTGGAAAATTCCTGTTGGGATTTGAGAAGTATAAGGGAGGAAAAAAAAATCTTTTTTTCACCATATTTGGGTTTATGGTTGAGACCTCTATGACAAAGGACAGATTAACAAGTCTTCATGTTATTTAATGCAGGTTTTACATGATAGTATAGGTTTGATAAAGAATCTTCAGACAACTGGAATGTGATAGGACAAAAAAGATGTGATCAAATGGTCATCAGCTGAGGAAAACTCATCAAGGTCTGCTTTGTTCAGATTCTTATCCATTTCCCTCTGTTTTCAGAGATAAGGATGTCACATCCTTCTGGAAATATGACATCTCTTATAGTGGGGTCTTTGGACCTATATCAGGGAAAGGCCAGAAACTTGCTAAGTTTTATAAATCTGCTTCAGAGAAGTTAGAAGGAAGGAAAAAATGACTTTTCTTTATTCAAATTCCTTCATCTGCATATATTTAATATGCCAACTACCATATTCGGAGGTTTTTGTGTAATTCTGAAGCAGAATGTTTTGTAGTTTAGTGCACAGAGAGCTCTATGTCAAAGGGAGAAGGGAGGAAATGTTTATAGATCAGAGAACATTGGTAGGTTGTGTGGCAATTGTAAGTAGGCTTCCCAAAGGACACAGGTTCGCAGTTTCGTCTCTCCTATCAGGCCTCCACTAACTCAGTGCCTTGTTTAGAACAAGTGTCCAATAAGTAGATCAAAACTTGGTTGAAGAAAGGTATGAGGAGAAGTAGTCCAAAGACTGTTGACCCATGAAAATCCTCTGTCAAAGGAAGAGGAACTCTACTCTCTTCTTTCCTTATCTAGATCCATTGCTTCTATCTTCTCTATTTGTATCTTGTTATTTAATTACTATAAAATAGTCTATTTGACTACTTTGTTAACCCAAGTATCCATATTAAAATTTGGATATGTTCATCAGATTCATAATAATTAGATTCAGTAGAATTTTTCTTTGCTCTATTTGCTTATTTTAAAACTTTTTATTTGGAAAGTATATGGCAAACAGAGAATAGCATATGGAATCTCCATATCCTCATTATCCAGCCACAGTAATCACTGATCGTGATCATGCCTGTCCCATCCACAACCATATTTGCTTTCCAACTTCCTTAGTGATTTTCAGATGTCAAGTTTCATCTGTAAAATGTCTACAGCTTAAAAATAGGGAATTCTTTGTTTTAACCTATCTGTAATACTATTATCATATACTAATAATAATTCCTTAATTTTATCAGCTATCCACAAAGTGTTCAGATTTTTCAATTGTCTCTTGCATGCTGCAATTATAAAGTGTGTCAAGTCAGGATTCAAATGATTACAATAGTGCATCATCATCTAAGTGTTTGGTACATCATCTAAGTCTTTTTTTAAAAAAATTTTATTTATTATTTTTATTTTATGGGTATGTGTGTATTGCCTGCATGTAGGTAAGTGCACCCATGTCGTGCAATGCCCGTGGAGATCAGAAGAGGCCGTTGGATCCCCTGGGACTGGAGTTAGAGAGTTGTTAGCTGCCATGTGGGTGCTGGGATTCGAACCCGGGTCTTCTGCAAGAACAACCAGTGTTCTTAACCATTGAACCATCTCTCCAGCCCCCATCTAAGTCTTTTTTAGTCTAATGTAAGTTCCCCTTTTGTCTCTGTTTCTTCTCTTCATTCTTAGTTTTTTGAAGAAACCAAATATTTGTCCAAGAGTTTTTCACAATATGGACTTTGCTGGTTGTAACCCCATGTTGTATTGCTTCTGTTTTGTTTTCCCATGCTGGGATTGAATCCATGGCTTCTTAACTTGTTAAGCAAGTAATCTACCATTGAGCTAAGACCCTGGTCTAGCTGTCAGTTGATTGGACATGCTCCTTTTGTCTTCTGAACTTCCTACAAATTGGTAGTTGCATCTAGATGATGGTATGAATATGTATTTCTGTTATTTAACCTGGGAAATAGAACATTATGACAAAGAATGTATTTGGAATTCTAATCAACTTATTTGGGACAAAATTATTTTATTCACATGTGCAAGGGGGCTAGCTAGTCTAGTATTGCTGAAAAAGTTCCAGTGTTAATTATAAAATGTCCTAAGATGAGAATATAGATAAATTTCTACCTAGTTTCTAGCTTAAAATAAAATCGTCTCAGTGACTAGATGATTCTCAGTTGAGATTATGTGAGTTATGAGGGATTTTAAATGGCTTATCTACTCCCACTTACCCTTATATGCAATGTTGATAAATTTTCATTTTTAGAATTAGAATTCTAAATTTCATTTAGAATATTTTTTTGGTTTTGTTTTTACTCTCTGTGATTATAAAACATTGAATTTATGTTAGGTTGGACTCATTCAGTATTTTTTCTTAGAATGATATCCTTTATTAAGTGGATTTTTATTGAGTTACCATACTTACCAAGTATTAGGTCAGAGAATGAGGAATGCAGTTCCAAATAAAACAGATTTGGTCTCTGTTCTCATGGACCTCCAACATTAGTATCTTGAAACCGCGCCCCCCCCATACATTCATCACAAATTAAGGTGAGAAAGAAGAAATTGATATAAGTCAAGCCAAGAAATAGACTGAGTTGAGGCATTTTTGGTTCAGTGGCTCTAATAATGTCAACAGGACTTCATCACTTCCTGTTTTTAACTCTCCTTTTCCCTGTAATTTGCTTCATTTTCAGGAAGGCTTTCTCTATTTTATGGTTTTGCTAGGTAGTTCCCCTGTTACATTCTACCAATTTCAAGTCTATCAGAAAACACCATTCTTTCTAGTAATTCCAGCAAAAGTCCCAACTCTGAGTCTTGAATACTTAGTCTAGGTATAATATAATTAGCTGAGGGAGAAGAGTCAACCTCCTCTAAACTACTTAGTGGCTGAGTCTAGTAGAGTCTAGAGGAAGGCCAAAGAAAAATCAAGGTACATTTACCAGAAAGATACAATTTTGATTCTGGGCAGACCGAAAAAAAAGATACTACTGTAGTACTACTATAGTCATTCCTGGTTGTTAAACCACATGTGTTGTTTATTGCTGCATAGTCCTGTATTGGCTGCTTTTTCTTGTTGTTGTGACAATACCTGAAAGAACCTTAGGAAGGAAAGCTTTTCTGGCCCATGGTTCAGGGGATTCAGTCCATCACGGTGGGGGAGGCATGGCTACAGGAGTGTGAGGCGGCTGGTCACATTGCTATGTTGGCCTGGAAGCAGAGAGCTGGAGTGAAAGCCTGTAACTCTACAGCCCCACATCTGCCGGCTAGGCCTCATGTTCAAAAGGTTCCACAACCAAAACAGTGCCTCTTATCTAGGACTGGTGTTTAACATTTGGACATGTTGGGGACATTTAACACACCATGAGCATCCCAAAATTAATTGCTTGAAACATATCTCTCAGTTTCTGTGGGTGAAAATCAAGGTACAGGTTACTTAGCTGCTCTGGCTCAGTCTCTCTCAAGAACGTTATAAAGGTGTGGGTAAGGCTTTAGGCTCTTTTGAAAGCTTAACTGGAGAACAATTTGTTTTCAAGCTCACTGACATTATTGTTGGCAGGATTCAATTCACTAATGCCTTTTTCTGAGACACTGTCTCACCATGTAACCCTAGCTGACCTAGAACAAGTGCTGGACTTCAAAGCATGTGAGGCCTTGTGTCCTTTAAACTCAGGGCTTCAGGCTCCTGTTGGCCTTTGATAGGAGATTTCCTTTAATTTCATGTATGTGGCCTTTCCATATGTGAGTTCATGACCTGGCAGCTTGTTTTATCAGAGAAAGCTGGCAAGAAGAGCCAGCGAGACTGTAGGAAAGACATAGTCACAGTTTTTTTTTTAATTACCTGAGCTCAAATGTGACGTAACTCTTCCAATATTCTTAAATATTTTATGGCGCACGCTTTTAATCCCAGCACTCAGGAGGCAGATGCAGGCGGATCTCTGTGAGTTCAAGGCCAGCAGACCAAAAACATTTTTTTTTATTTATTATTTTTATTTTATGTGTATACGTGTATTGCCTGCATGTAGGTAAGTGCACCTATGTGGTGCAATGCCTGCAGAGGACAGAAGAGGTTGTCAGATCCCCTGGAACTGGAGCTACGAACAGTTGTTAGCTGCCATGTGGCTGCTGGGATTCAAACCTGGGTCTTCTGCAAGAACAGCCAGTGTTCTTAACTGCTGAGCCATCTCTCCAGCCCCAATTCTTGCCATATTCTATTCAATAGAAGCAGCTGCTAGGTCCAATCCATATTGCAAGTAGAGAGATTGCACAAGGATTTGAATACCAGAGGGAAGGGCCTTTAAGAGCCACTTTACAAGCTGCCCACCACATGTGCATGCCTTTATTCATGTATGTACAGTTCAGACATATACCACTTAACTAATGAAGCTATTTCACATATGATTAAAAATAAACCCATAGCCTCTCCCTAGAAGAAGATAACTTAAATGCATCTGGTTATTGATTAGCTAGAGAAATAGAAAACTATAAATAAAATGCAGATATTTTTCTTCCCCTTTTCCTCTTCTCCATATTCCCAATTTACAATAATGAAGAGGAAACAAGGTGGCTGCCATGAAAAC